ATTTTTGTTTGTTGGTTCGGAGTATGACACAAAACCAGCAACACGAGCCGATGACTAACACCTGTTTGTTTATAGGGTTTATCCACAATGCTGCGGCCATATTGGCCCTGGCCATCTGGCACCGCCAAGGCCGATGTGGGTAGTGTAGCACGATTCTTATATTATAATATTTTCACGATAATGGTATTATTTTTTCTTGGGTTCAGAAATGAAAGTTGTAGGATTGCTTGACGAAAATGTCTTATATTTAGGATTGCTTGACAAATCTCTTGATAAAAGGTTTGTCAAATTTGAATGTTTAGTTGAAAATTGTCGAACTCAAGTAATTTGTGACTAAAAATTAAAGTTTGATCAATTGATAAAATTTTAGCAAAATTTTCTCAAATAGGGACGTAGAAAGTTCGACATTTTCTAATCATATTTCACCCAGAATTTCATTAAAGTAATTATTTTCTCTCCATTCTCATCAGTTTATCTCGCTTTTTCTGTTATGATCACGAAAGTGAAACATAGGTAAAGATTTGACGAGTTTTAAGACTTTAATACGATTGTACATGTGATGAATGATGGTAAATGCTAGAGTTTATGATCGTTGTAATTTTCTATTTGTGACCTTTAGCCCGGTCATGTTTCTATTTGTCCACATATGTTTATGACAATTGTTTTGATAAATTCTAATGTAATATTTGTATTTCCGTGACTTTGTTTTTCCTCGTAAGTTGTGACAAATATATATATAATGGGTCGAGTTGACACGTGTCTCCTCAAAATTATGTCAAATGTAACTTTTGTCAAATTTATAGCTCGTGTAATCGAGATAAGTAAAATTAAAAAATTTGTGACACGTGATTTGTGTAATGTGAGACATCTCCAGTACTCACATAAGTGAAAATAATCATTATTTAGTATATTTAGGGTTTCAAGTCGAGATAACTCCCATGAAAATGTGAAATACCTAAATATATAGCTATATAATTTAGAACGAAAAAAATAAAAATAAATTTATGCTCGCAAAAGTGAAATGAAAGAGAATATGAAATTTCTAACAAGAATGATGAAATTACGCTCTTCGAACCATTTCTCTCTTCAAGCCATTGTGAAGAAACTAAGGTAATAGGATTTACGGGAGTTTACATGGTAAAATTAAACCTAAAATAATATTACCTCAATTATAACAATTTTTTGAAAATATAAAATGAAATACTAAAAATAAATTTGAATTGTTATGAGCAAATATAATACCTTTCAAGAGTATCATCACCATAACATGAATTGTAAATGCATGAATGTGATGTACCAAAAAATCCACGATCCTAACAAAATAGGTAACAAAGCTACTTTGTCACTCACTACTATAAAGTTAAACTGGTGCTTGCCGTTGCACCAGGAGTTGTTGCGCTAGGTGCTAAAGCATGTATTTTCTTTCTTCTTCCTTTTTTGTTGATTCAACAATCCTAGAGTTTCTTTTTTATCCAATCATATATAAGGAAATTTTTTGTTTTTTGTTTTTTTTGCCCCTTTTTTATAATATATATTGTTAAGGGCCCTTCGGTATAAAAATAAAAAGATTGCAACATCGAATTGGACTCCCGATAGATAATAGAAATTGGAAATACCTTTTATCTCATACTACTCTCTCAATATATAATTCAATCTTTTGGAAAAAAAAATTAATAATAATACAGGAAACTTTGCATATCGAATTCGAAAGTTTCAATCAATTCTTGCCAATATCCACAAAAGGAAATTAAGAACATATTCTAGTTGCCCAAATAAAAAAACATCCATGGCCAAACCAATAAAGTATTCATGCCAAAAGGATTATATTCATTGATAAGTTGTGAAGAGTTTGATAATCGTCAATCACCTCAAGTTTGAGGTCATCTCGTTTAAAAGTATAACCGTGGTACTTCGCTACACTCATTTTTTAACAAAAGCATAATTTAGACGAGTTGTTGAAATTTGCTTTGTGTAAGCTTTCCTTGCATATATTGGATAACTCGAACGCATTCGATCCGTTGTTGTTTTTTTTTTTTCGTTGCGCTAGGTGTTAAAGCATGTATTTTCTTTCTTCGTCCTTTTTTGTTGATTCAACAATCCTAAAGTTTCTTTTTTATCCAATCGTATATAAGGAAATTTTTTGTTTTTTGTTTTTTTTTGCCCTTTTTTAATAATATATATTGTTAAGAGCCCTTCGGTATGAAAATAAAAAGATTGCAACGTCGAACTGAACTCCCGATAGATAATAGAAATTGGAAATACCTTTTATCTCATACTACTCTCTCAATACATAATTGAATCTTTTGGAAAATAATAATAATACAAAAAACTTTGCATATCAAATTCGAAAGTTTCAATCAATTCTTGCCAATATCCACACAAGACAATTAAGAACATATTCTAGTTGCCCAAATAAGATGTCCAAATAAAAAAAAAAAACATCCATGGCCAAACCAATAAAGTATTCATGCCGAAAGGATTATATTCATTGATAAGTTGTGAAGAGTTTGATAATCGTCAATCACCTCAAGTCTGAGGTCATCTCATTTAAAAATATAACCGTGGTACTTCGCTACACTCATTTTTTAACAAAAGCATAGTTTAGACGAGTTGTTGAAATCTGCTTTGTACAAGCTAACTCGAACGCATTCGATCCGTTGCTTTTTTTTTTTTTTTTTGTCGTTGCGCTAAGTGCTACAGCATGTATTTTCTTTCTTCTTCCTTTTTTGTTGATTCAACAATCCTAAAGTTTCTTTTTTGTCCAATCATATATGAGGAAATTTTTTGTTTTTTGTTTTTTTTGCCCTTTTTTAATAATATATATTGTTAAGAGCCCTTCGGTATGAAAATAAAAAGATTGCAACGTGGGGGCAACCCCAGCCAAGTTAGTCGGGCAGTTGGACTAGCAATCGTGAGGTTGCTAGTTCGATTCCCGTTGGAGCTGCTTATTGGCCTTCTTGGTTTGAATCGGTCAGCTATGGGTAACCTAGGCTGATTTACCTCCTTGTGGTCCTTTGCTGGCTAGGATCACAAGGCGGGGTTTACCTAGTGCGCACCTTCGGGTAGCGGCTGCGGGTTCCCTTGTCAACAAAAAAAAAAAGAAAAAAGATTGTAACGTAGAACTGGACTCCCGATAGATAATAGAAATTGGAAATACCTTTTATCTCATACTACTCTTTCAATATATAATTGAATCTTTTGGAAAAAAAAATAATAATACAGAAAACTTTGCATATCGAATTCGAAAGTTTCAATCAATTCTTACCAATATCCACACAAGGAAATTAAGAACATATTCTAGTTGCCCAAATATGATGTCCAAATAAAAAAAATAAAATCCATGGCCAAACCAATAAACTATTCATGCCAAAAGGATTATATTCATTGATAAGTTGTGAAGAGTTTGATAATCGTCAATCACCTCAAGTCTGAGGTCATCTCGTTTAAAAGTATAACCGTGGTACTTCGCTACACATTTTTTAACAAAAGCATAATTTAGACGAGTTGTTGAAATCTGCTTTATGCAAGCTTTTCCGTCATATATTGGATAACTTGAACGCATTCGATCCGTTGTTGTTTTTTTTTTTTTTTTTTTTTTTGGCACGTCGGTACACCCCCTTGCCATGATGAATCTCTGTCTTGTGGAAAGATTCGACAGCGTCTCCCATAAGGGGAGAAAAAACATAAAGATGAGAAAAGAAAGAAGATATTTTTTTTTATAGCTACTACAATCGTTGAAGCAACTATTGAACCAACTATCGTTTCGTCAATTTATCGTAATAAAAAATCAACTCGTACAAATATACTAACTTAAAAAATTGAATGCATGACCTGATCTATGCGAAGGAAACAATGTAGTGAACTGGTTGGTCCACATAAACCTTTATTTTTGTGTTTCTGTTTTCTTTTTCCTTCAAAAGTTAATACAAATAATGAAGAATGAAAAAACAGTTGAGTCAGATTCACGGGATAGTAATATAAGAGCATCTCTATGATACTCTTTAAATATGAAATGATCTTCAATATATGGAAGAGGCTACATTTACATCACATTGTACATAAGGGTGTCCATAGTTGAGTCAGATTCACGAGATAGTAATATAAGAGCATCTCTATGATACTCTTTAAATATGAAATGATCTTCAATATATGGAAGATGCTACATGTACATCACATTGTACATAAGGGTGTCCATTATGGACACCCGACGCCTCGGCATTGGCTAAGGCGCCTGCCACGCACTGGCCCACTGGCGCCTCGACCAATGCCGAGGTGCCAGGTGTCCATAATGGACACCCTCATGTACAATGTAATGTACAACAAGATTAATCCTATATTCTTTAAATATGAAATGCTTTTTATTTTAAATAATTAATATTTAAAATCATGCTCTAAAATACTCTTTGAATTTACAGTTTAATTTAAAGAGTGAGCTTGACTCTCCAAATTGAAGAACCAAACCCACCCTCTATACTTAAAGCACATTTGGTACGGATCAAAATCTGATTTTAATTTAAGTCAAAGTCAAACAATTAATATTAAACATATCTTTTATAGGTTCCACAACTTTTAAATCACACATTTTAAATTTTTTTTATTACAATTTATTCAAAAATCTAATTTTAATCTCTACTAAACACCCTCATAAATGCATTCAAAGTATTTCAATTTTTAATGTAGGAAAATAATAAAATAATTTAAAGAAAAAGCTTGTTAAAATAAAAAATAGAGAAAATTAATAAATATTTTTTAAGATTAGTAAAATTAAGTATTAAATATAAAGAGTTTGTTGGGCAATTCAAACTCTCTAACTTCATAGATGTTAATATCTTTAAAAAATATAGAGGCTAGATGCTCTAAGAATCTAGTCTCCATAGAACAAATGAAATTTCTAATGAGATTATTTCCAATTACTCTTAACTTTGATACCATCATGCCCTGATTCCAGGATGTCAAACTCATGAAGTTGTGTAATGTCATTAATTCTACACTAAACATAATAAATCTTAATCCTCTCATTTTTCTCCTTATGATTATAATTCAAACGTGCCTTGAAAAACAAGTAGCTGAACTACAGCCTTTTATTCAAGTGCTTCCAAATCATACATATATCAAAGCATATTAAACAGGTAAAAAAAGAAAAAAAGAAAACTAAGGGACCCCTTGGCGGTTCACCGCATCAGTGGCGGAGAGTTGAGCCTGGGAATTGGTGCCGCCGCCGCCTTTCTCAGTCGGCGCGTCGGTGGAGCTGGCAGCGCCGCGGCCAGGTTGAGGCTGAAGGTGTCCCTGTGTTCCGTAGCCTTGTTTCTTGTAATCCTCCAAATCTTTGTACTGCGTGTATGGACTAGTCTCCACCGGTAGCCCCTCTAAATTCCCCTTCTTTTCAACATTTTCTTGTTTTCTATCCATCTGGTTCTGGATTCAAAGTATTTCTTCTAGTTTATTTTTGTCTTCTCCGATTTCGTTTATAATATTTGGCTGTGGATTATTCCATCCATCGTTTTTGTTATTTAAGGTTGCTGATTCTCTTTGTAATGGTGCCACGTGTCATATAGGTGTCCATTTTTTGCATGAGATGTCACTCATTGAATGAATGAAGGCTAAAGCCATGCAAAACCAATAAAATATTGGGGGTCATTGTCGATTTGTTTCTTTGCTATATTTGCACCCACATCTAACGGAAAACATTGCTAAAATAATAACGGATTAATAAAAACTTTTCATAGTAATAATGGGCAGTTTCGAATCATTTAAGAGTGGATGATCATAAGCAATTTTTTAAATAATTTTAATATTATCCGTACTTATTCCGATTATGTAATATGACTGATGTTGAATACATTTTAAATACAATTTTTGCTGAATAAAAGTGAAAATTAATATAAAAGATTTTCAATTTTAAACTCCATGGCAAATCCTGGAAAATCAGATCACTTGAGTTGAAACTGTAGCTCTTAGCCCACTTTATGTACCATTTCAGTAGAATTTTCTGATTACTTTCTGTATTATGTACTTCGTATTTGAAGTGAACATTTATGCTACCTTAAATTCGAACCATCCACACCTTTCACTCTGTAACAAACTGTATATCACAATCACATCATGTATTTGTATTAAAAAAATGCAAATATAGCTAATTGTTATGCTTTAACATTAAGATTTTGAAAATAAAGTTTTTAAGTTCCCTACTCTTTGCTTTGCCTGTGATTATTTTATCTAAGGAAATCCCTAGTTTCCCCGTCCAATCAAAATAGATCACAGGGCTTGTACATGATGTGAAAACTTAACACCAGCCAATTTTTCCTCATTATTACTCAAGTAAATCCTCCCATTTGCAGTATTGCCCCCCGGCCAATGCACGATAATACCTATCTCTGCAGTACACTGGCCTTCCATTGGCCGCCTCTGCTGCGGCTGCTGCTAGATCATCGTCTGATTTCACATCAACTGGCAGTCTCAACAGTTCCTCCTTCCTACAATATATTCGTAGAAAATTTGTTATGTGCAGTAAATATGATTTGACATGTTTGATAAGGTAGATGGTACATTTTTGTATTTAAAGACTTGACTAGTTTCACATACCGTATATTGAACTTTGTGTTGATCTTTGATGATGAAACGTTGGATGGGTTCTCCTTAAATGTGTTCTGGATAAAATTCTCGACTGGGGTAGCGAAAATGAATAATGAAACGGCTGCAACTAGCAATGCTCCTGTTCCAACCAGTGTCTGCTTCAGCAGCTTGACCACTGGTTTTACCTAAATGCACACATTTACACAGTTCTTTCACTCTTATTGAAGATACAACCTCTCTAGGCTTTAAAATCTGTATTGATCTCTACAATTGAAAGCAATATAATCTATTAAGTACCTTGTATGAACCCAATAATCTATCGCGAGCCAGGATCTGCAATAAAAATGATCAATGAAAGTTATCAAACGCAGTTCGCAGTTTTATGGATTGGGTTACAACTGATAAACAGCACTAACCTCGGGTGGCTTCACCCACATTTGTCCATCATACCATCCAGTCTCTTCGTAAGGTATGACCGCTGATAAAAGTCTATCGCCAACATAACTCCATCCCTGTACATGTACAAATAATAAATTTTGTAGATCGCATTTACAACATTCTAATGGAACAATAAAGTAGTTTGGACAATGAATTGACCTAGCCATTCTGGTATTCTAAAGGATGGACTTTCCAGGAGATTAACTGTAACATACCAGATAAATCCTCAGGACTATTAATGAAACAAGAAAAAGAGTTCCCGTCCCTGCTGCTAAGACGAATCGTAAAGGATCCTGCAGATTGAAAAGTATTAGTTTGTACTTGGCAGTGAGCGAGCACAATTCAAGTTCCATTAACAAATTGTGCAGGAAGACATTCTTAGCAAAACCTTAATCCTTTGCTCATGTATTGAACTATACTTGTACTACCTTTGTAGGATTGAAACTTGCTGCTGCAATAGGCACTCCCAGGACAGTGAAAGTTACCAACCAGAGTCCACCAAGACGTAGGAAAAAAGAGCCTGGACCCAAGTCAGCCCATGAGTATAAAGATGCTTCTTTCAGAGATGAGTATTCATTCACCTGTCAAATCACCATAGTATGATAAAATCAACTTTTTAACAGATCCTATGAGAAAAAAGATGACCAGTTCATTACATTGTCCACTTCAAACCATATAATTAAACTTACTAAACAAGCCATTAAGGTTTTTCTAAACAGTACGAGGTTAAATAGACTGGTGGTCTACAAATTTATACTGAAGTTTGTTACAATCTCTCTCAATTTTGATAATAAAAAAGTGTCGCAATAGAAATTTTAACTAGCCAGATTGTGACGTCAATTTCTTTAACAATCAATCTGACGTACATACAGACATACACGCAATAATCAATTTCTCACAAGTGCTACAACTAGGTAACTTGAAACAAAATTAAGTTAAATGATCACTTGAACATACCGGCCTTTGTTCGAATGGCACCTCAACTTCCATCCCTGGACCCCAGCTTCGACCAGGCACCCCACTCTTGCCCCCATCCATCTCATCTCTTAGAGCCCTGACAGCAATTCTCCCGGCTATAATCCGATTTCTGTCGCACCGGATTATCGACCGGAAACTACTCCCAACATCACCCTGTCGAGGACTCGGGACTATAGAACAGTATACATTCAACCGAAGCATTTTTTTTTATCAATTAATCGACGGCAGTTTCTGTGAAAAACCAGTGTGCCTGATTAGTTCGTCATGAAGAGAGGGTCGGCAATCTGCATTATTTACGTGGAGGAAAATAACGGGAAGAGAAAAATAAATAAATAATGGTTTTTTGTTTTGTTCTAAAGCGAAAATGGTCCGTATTATTAATTAGTAGGATAATCCAAATAGGGTTAGATTTTTTAGATATATTCTGTGGCTCAGAAATTACAGAATGTTGTGTGGCCTGCGCTGTAACGTGTCGAAAGTTTCCTTGCACGCTGCATCTTGTTCATATCGCACGTCCCCACGGGCCTGCGATCTTCCAATTTTCAACTCCGACTGCATAAGTGGACGAACCCATTGTTAAATCAATAATTGAAAACATTAAAATCGATTCAAACTATGAAACTTAAGAATAAATTCACTTACATAATAAATAAAATTCTGACTCGAACTAATTTGCCAAATTAAGATTTTCGTTAAACACATAAGATAATTTTGTATAATTTTAAAATGCATATTTTGAAATTTTTAATTGACAATATATGTTTTCTCAAGTCATTTCCCCCCCTAAAATATGCCTCTAAAGTTGCATTTTTTATTTATTCTTTCTACGCAAATCAAACTCAACCCCATACCCTTTTTTTGCAATGCACATGCTGCATTTGGTATATTTTCATTTTTATTTTTTAAATTTGGTACAAAATAATTATTTAAATTTACGATAGTTAAAATGATTCTTTTAAAGAAACATTTTGTAAAACACAATTATTATTTAAGCACAATCATTCTCGATAAGCGTATTTTATACCCCTTGAATAATTGCTTGACATAATCCAAATTAATAAATTATTTTATCGATAACTTCTCTAAAGTAATGATTTTTTGTTTTCACTCGTATACCGGCCAAAGTTAGGTAAAGAAGCTTTCTTACGAGGACTCTTTTATTCGTGCTTGTTGACCAATGGTTTTTTCTTTTTTCTAATGTATGGAGATTCTATTCTATTGTATTGAATTTATTATTAGTTAATGGATGCTCATAGACTTGAAGGTTTGAGAAGGTTCTAGACATTAAAAATATGGACATCGTTTCCAATTAAAATAATTTAACATTAATGTTGACTTGAAGTTTCAAAACAAATTATCTCTTCATTAGATTGCGGAATCAAGTAGTTATTTATTTAGGTTCGAAGAGTAATGCTAATTATGCTATATATCATCCCTAATTGGTATCCGTTTAAATAATAATAATGTTACAGCTAATAAATAAAAATGTATGACAACTTTACTTAAAAATATAAGGTAATTGGCACAAAACGTCCATACTTTTCAAGTTTATTGTGGAAAACGTTCCAACCTTTCATTTTTTGACATTTTCGCCCGTACTTTTTACATTTCTTTGCACAGAAGGTCATTTTCATTAGTTTTTGACAATTTTACTCTCCATTCAAATAAAAAAATAAAAAAAATAAAAAAGAAAAAAATTAATTGCAATAATAGTCCCAAATTTTCAAAAAAATAACAAATCGGTCACAATTTATTGTGAACTGGAAAATTTTAAAATTACCCAAACAAAAAAGAAGGGAAACTTGAATGTACAGAAAAATAATCAAGAAATAGAGAAAATTTTGAACCATAGCCACTGAAACTGGAAATCTTCAAAAATTAATAAGCATAAATCTCAATTTTTATGCAGTGAAGAGTAGATGGAAGGTTTGAGGCAAAAATCACGTAATCTTCAAAATTTTTCGTTTCCATTGGTTATGATTAAAAAAATTTCTCTATTTATTGATTATTTCCCTGTACATTCAAGTTTCTTTTCTCTATTTAATTTTTAAATTTTTTAGTTCACAATAAATTATGACTGCTTTATAATTTTTAAAAAATTTTGGAACTATAATTACAATTAATTCTTTATTTCTTCTTTTCTTTTCTTCTTGTTTCATTTCAATGGAGGGTAAAATCGTCAAAATGACCTTCTGCGAAAAGAAATGTGAAAGGTATGGACAAAAATATCAAAAAATGAAAAGTTATGGATATTTTCAACAATAAATTTAAAAGGTATGAACGTTTTGTACCAATTATCCAAAATGTAATAATGACCTAACTTTTGAATTAGTGTTGCTAATGACAAATGGTGATAAACATCATAATTCAATTTTGAACCAGCATTTAGAGGCGTGGTGATTGACTCTTCATTTATTATCCAGTACATTAAAAACTGTATCATATTCATATTTTGGACTAAATACTCGTTTGGGAGCATAGGAATAAAAAATTCCGGCGGAGTAAGAAGTCAAGACGGGCTTATCACTTCTTTGCATTTCGTGACAGCAAATATACTTTGCCCATTCGCATTGGCTTGTTTTTTATTTACTTCACAAAGAGAAGGGGAAACCGGAAAAGGAGAAGAAATATTCTTATATGTGCTAGCCGTTTCATAAAGACGATCGATTAAAGGGGAAAAATGAAGAACAAAGGAAGTAAAAGTGGAGGGGGTAATTGGTTGAGTCTAGGGTTGCCGTCGATTTTCCTCCTGTGCCTCTTCTTCTTTCTCGCCGGCTTATTTGGTTCTTCCCTTTTCTCTCAACAGGTCCGTTTCTTTTTTTTTTTTCTGAATCACTATTCGTGTGTGTGAAAGGATAGATCATTGGTTGATTGTGATGTCAGGACATTTCAAGTACTTTAAGGCCACAACCGCGGGGACTGGAGGAGGAGAATAATCAAGAGTTTGATTTGTTGCCACATGGAAAGACAGGACAGGCGTCTCTCACACGGATACCTTTTCAGGTGTGTGCATTTTAGGATTTGCAAATTTACTGTTCTGTAGTTAAACAGGGTACTAATGGATATTTTTCTTTTTATGTTCCGTTCTATTTTATTTTATTATATATGTAGAATAGTTCGGTAATAAGTTAAGCTATTGTTCCATAATGATAATTGGTTGTTTGGAATCAATTTGTACTTGAAAAGCTGATAACAATTTAGTATCTACGGAGGCAAACATCTTTTAGTTTGTGTTCAATCTGTCCCTTGCATTCATTGTTCTCCAATGAACTAAGTTCATTTTTGATGGACAGATTTGAATCGAATGGTTTCAAGTTGACAAGATGATTCACGGTTGAATTTGAATTGAAAGACCAGTAGCAGTAGCCATTGGATAAATTATAGCATTTGAATTGATGAGATTTGAAGTAATAGTCTCGAATCCTTTACACTTTTTGGACGATCCAATACACTGAGGGTTTTAAATCCTAGGCCAGACATGTCATGTGTTCAAGGAATATTTTCAATTTTAAATGTTTTTCTGGCAAGGGCACTGCTAGTAATTAATGGGCACAACTTGCATTTGTGTTATACATTTCAAATGCTGGATTTTTAAACCCAAGGATTATAACCAATCATTAGAGAAATTTTTTCTTGATCAGCCATCATTTATTTTCCTTTTTCTTTGTTTACAATACACCATTCTTGATCCTTTAACCTCATATGTAGATTTTAAGCTGGAGTCCTCGGGCATTATACTTTCCAAATTTCGCCACTGCAGAACAATGCCAAGGCATTATCAAAATAGCAAAGAACGACCTCAAACCATCATCCTTAGCTCTACGCCCGGGAGAAACAGCGGATAATACAAAAGGAGTTAGGACAAGGTAACTATTTTCATCTTGGATCACATGGCTGATCTTAAGGAATCATGTGTATGGCATTAGGTTACACTAATAATTGTGTTACTGTGTTTTATTTATGCTTGTACTCGCATTTTATATATATATGTATATTTATTTATTTATTATTATTTTTTTTATATATATTTTTTTCCGTATTAGTTCTGGCACGTTTATAAGCTCGTCTGAAGACAAAACTGGACTTCTGGATCAGATTGAGGCAAAAATTGCAAAAGCAACAATGATCCCCAGCGATCATGGAGAGGTAGTGCATTTCAAACTACATTACTGTTTCCTATTGCCTGTACGTGCATATGCTTACTTCATAAATAGTGTATGGCTGGAACTGCGAATCCATATTTGCACCCCTCGTAAAGAATAGTGTGAATATGCTCATAGGAGTGAACCCTTGGATGCTTATTTTTCCATTAAGATTATGTTCTGTTAAATATGAAATTTAATTTTCACAATCAGGCTTCAGGGCCCGTGGGATTAGTCGAGGTGCACATAAGCTGGCCCGGACATCCACAGTCATTAAAAAAAAATATAAATATCATTTTCACATTCATTCTTGACAAACATCTAAGGAAAGATTGGTATAGAAGAAATGGTTGTCAGAATTTTATTTTCATTTATTTTTTTCTGACATATTTCCTCTTATCATGTAATCTACATCTTTGAATGGGTGCTTTCATAAATGAAAATATACACATCCCCAATACTTCAGTCTGTCAACAATTTATCTACCTATGATGATACTTAAGTCTGTGGACTGTTACCCTACCTATGAAATATTCTTGTTGATGTTAATATTATTATATGGGTATATATCTTATGGAAATGCAATTGGTCACCCTCTTCTTGCCTTGTAATTATGATGCCAATTCTTGGTTTCATAACTGGACATCCAAATTTGGCACATCGATGATGGTATTACCTATCTGTTTAAAAATGTGTGCTACTTCATATTTTTAAAATATGCAATTCTTTTCTGGTCTCATATGTATGAAAAAATGCCTTTCTAGTTTATGCCCTGTTTAACATCTGTAGTTACAGAAATCTCAGCATCAATGCTTTATGAAGGATTAAAATTAAAAGTTATACTGTAAGGAACTTTTAGTATCTCTTCTATTTCAAAGAGACATAAATTCTCTTTAAATGTTCGATGTGTACTGCATGACAATACTAAATTATGTTTACAAATTCCATTTCTACCAATGCCAAATGAATGTGAGATATGAGTTCTGGAGTTGAGTTCTGTTCCCAACTCTTGTTAATCTACTTTGAACAATTTGTGCGTAGAACGATTGTTCACAATTGTCATTTCCCCAATGCCAAATGAATGTGAGACATGAGTTTCTGTAGTTGAGTTCTGCTCCCAATTTTTTTCAATCTACTTTGAACAACTTGTGCGTAGAATGATTCTATTTATTTATGCTGAATTACTGCATGCAATTCCGTGACTGTTGTTTTGTTGAATTACTGGACCTTTGACTTCTAGTTCACTTTCAGGCTTTCAATGTCTTGCGTTATGAGATTGGTCAGAGATATCAGTCTCATTATGATGCATTCAATCCTGCTGAATATGGTCCACAGAAGAGCCAAAGGGTAAGATAAGCAATGTATTAGATCTCTATTTTAGGCATTCTTTTTTTGGAATTAGATTTTAAGTGCTTGATGGGCAATCTATTGATATATACCTGAGACATCCTGAGCAATCAATGTCATGAGACTTTGGTTATAATCTCATGAAATAGCTGTGTTATCATGAGTCCAACACCTGTATCTGTAATAAAAATAAGGAGGTGAGAAATTTTTATTCCTCTCACGCTGTTTCTTATTTACCCCTTAGATGAAAAAGGTTGGACCTTATGCAATTCTATTCCTTTCTCAAGTTAGAAATTGCGGTCCTAGTAAAGCTACTAAACTTAATACACCCTTGCGGGAAACTACGGGGGTACACATGACAATTTCACGATGTATTTACAATCTCAATCATTTGTAAGTTACCTTAATTTTGGTACCTTAATCTTGTCTCGGCTTGGCTCAGCTAAGCTCAGCTCAAAACGTATTATTATCACACGTCCTTTTTTCTTCTTCCTCCTGTTCTTTAGGAATTTTATTATTTTAGTCTTCTAGTTTCACAAGGGCTGAGATTACTTGTGCTCTTAGGGATTACATCAACCCTTTGCTGCAAAATGGTTAGCTAACCACCAAAAAAAAAAAAAAAAAGGGAAAAACTACCTTTGGGTAGATCTTCGTCAGTCTGTCTCTGCGATATGTTTGTTTATCAAGATTCGAACACCAGTTCTTAGATTAAGATGATGTCGCTCCTTGCAATCTTGACTTGATGTAAATTTGTTCAGGTTGCTTCTTTCTTGTTGTATTTATCTGATGTTGAGGAAGGGGGAGAAACTATGTTTCCTTTTGAGGTAAGATCAAGCCCACTGTATCTTCTATTCTCCAGCTTCCTTTACTTCTCATTGCCAATGACCTGGGGTCCTTGACCACTGGTTTCGGCGGTCACTTAAAATGCTTTGATCTACAGAATGGGCTAAACATGGATGGGAATTATGATTTCAGCAAATGTATTGGTCTAAAAGTAAAGCCCCGCAGAGGGGATGGACTTCTGTTCTACTCACTGTTCCCAAATGGTACAATTGATCCGGTGAGTGGCACTGCTAAATGTCATTCTCATCCTTGCACTGTCTTGCATTTTTATACGATCATTTTCTTGCAAATCCTTTGTGCATTTGGTGTAACATTGATAAGTTGTTAGGCTGGAAAGATACTAGAATTAAGAGGGATTGCAATTATATATTGAAATTACGGGTGCACATAACTTGTAACATAGTTTATGTAGAATTGTTTCAAACTGACACCAAAATTAGAACATCCTATCGAGATGATTGATGAGATGCATTTCAGGTGACAAATGAGAGTCTCATTAACCCTTTACATTATGTGGGATGCAGAGTAGCTGCTCAGTAAGATGGTATTGGACCTATTGGTCAATTTTACAACGTAGAACTACCTAATTGCTTGAAGAACTAAATAGAAAAAATTGCTTTGCTTCTGAATCTAAATGAAGACGGTGACACTTGAAAGGCGAAATGTGAAGGAAAAATGTGTTAAGATTGGACATAGTAAATTGATGCGGAATGAGCTGGCCTCGTAACCTCTACGGGAGGAGGTATTAGAAGAGTCTACTCAATAAGGAAATGCAGAGGTGGAATGAGAAGTTTCAAATGACGGGCGATGTAATGAAAAGGTTCACCTCAATTCCTTCAGGCTCATTGAAATAGATGGTATTAACAAGAAATTAAGAACTAAATTAGGAACTTATATTGTGTAGCTACACGATACATATTTATCGATCAGGCTATTGGAATCGATCTTTGGTGCATTTCATACGGTAGAATGATACAGTTGGGTATGCATTGTACATTTATGATTGGTTCGTTCCAAGTCAAATAAGATGATTTGATAAATGGTATATTTATACCGAATGAAATTACAAGGGAGTAAACTAGAATAGTATAGACTGAAATGTCCGTAAACAAAAATAGTGACTGGTGTAAGCAAGGGCTGCTGACAATATTGGAAGAGAGAGATTCAGGGAAAACAACTAGTATGACCTCAAGGACGATGCTGTGCTAGACTTCAGTTTCTGTAGTAATAAGAAAATTTCATGTGCAATTCTCAAAGATTATTTTTCACTTTCTCATGAACTTGAATTTTTATGATATCTTTAAACTGTCATTTGGCAGTTCATGTTCGTTGTTTTATGGAAATGTGTATTACATATTGTTGAATGGTTTAACAAGGTTTATAATCATTTCTTGTTATGTCTTTACTGTTGAATTGGGTTCTGATTGCTGCATTCTTTGGCATCGGTGCAGTTATCTCTTCATGGGAGCTGTCCGGTTATCAAAGGGGAAAAATGGGTAGCCACAAAGTGGATCAGGAATCAAGTGCAGGACGACGAAGATTAATGTGGAAATTAATCACATCATAGTATAGCTCTAATTATCCAAGACTCAGACATTTATTTATGGTACAACTTGTAGTTTGCAACAAATTTTGCTGTGTATAGAATACAATAAATAACATCCGTCATCTCTCACAAGATTGTTCCATTTGTGATTTAGAGGAATAGCTTTATTAAATCTTGAAACCACTGAAGAAATATTTCTTAAGAGTTACTCTGACTATTTTTATGGTCAGAATACGTCGCATGGAGCACAGCTCCCAACTAGAGCTTCAAGTATATTTGTGCAAAGAATTTTGCTATTTGTACAATCGGGGTTGACAACCCTCTCACAAATTCATCGTATGCCCCACCCGGTTGTTCAAATAGCATGGTCCTTGTGCAAATATACATTCAACTCATCTATCCCAAGCACCTGGTGGAGGAATTTTTGTATCAGATGCAACTTATATGGCAAATGCATCAGCTTTTCTGAAAACAGGCACAGCTTAGTGTTATTATGAACTTCATCAATTTCTTCAAGGACTAAGTGTTTATTTGATAATGCTTTTATGTGCTTATATTAAATGGTTAGTAAGTTGTGGGTACTACAAAGTATGTAAAATAAAAAGTACGTTGACCAGCTTAAATTATAATTTAAGCTTTGCCGAAGGCTGTTAAAATTTCAATTTGTATAGTTAGATCAGAAATCTGACGTGTCTGTGATTTTACACCTTCAGATCAAGCATCGCATCTAGACCATTTGGATTAACACGGATGCATGAGCACCGTGTATCTCTTTATTAATCTAATAACATCATGATGTTAAAGAACCATAAATCTTGAACTAATTGATCTCACAAGAAAACAGAACTGGAACATAGGGTCAACTGCATTACCTTAGCAATCTTGACAAGTTGATCCTGGTTAATGCCTATAAATTGCGAAAGATCTATATCAATATCAATATTGGGAAAGTGGGAAAAAGAATATATAAGATACCATGTAAACTGAATATATCCAGTTTTTTAGCGTTGAAACTCTCAACCATTCCAGCAAACTTGCAACCAAGACTTCACAAATCCAATGAATAGTCATAGTCTTGCAGGTCAACAAGAAGTTCTGAACCCTTGAAATATCTGAGTAAGAAGAGCAGAAATTTTCGGCTTTAAGGAAAATAAACTAGCAGCTTAGCTTAATGGAACCCAACAAAAAAGAGCAAAAAGTACAACTAGAGGGAGAGCTATCATTTAAAAAATCATCAATTATGCACACACACTGAACAATATTAACAATAAAAGACTTGATTTGTGATCTTATACGATCAGGTTTCCTTGAGAGAGGCCAATCTTTATTAACATAGGTACGATATTTGACCAAAAATCACAAATCTGAGGCATTTTAGCCGTTTCGATACATGTTATCATCTAGCAACAAGTTCTTTTGAATTCTTTCCTTTAATCCTTTTCAAGAGAGAGAATGAAATTTAACATATACCCCCGTGTCCACCTCACTAGGATGGATAAGCCACATAATTTCTATTATAAATTTAAAGTTCAGATGTAAAACTAAAATCAGAAGATAGAAGCATGACAATTGACATGAGCGTAGATGCATCACTTCAAAGTTAACAAAAAATCCATAAGCGAACATATCAGGTCTAGAAAGATCATTGTAAAGTTGAAGACATGTTCAATAGTTGTGTGAAACCAACCAAGCAAAAGAGGGATAAATTCTTAAATAGAGAGGAATAACATGGCATCTTTTTAAATCACAAACAAAAAATCACCCAATCATGAACAAATGAATGGCAAATGCAGCATTCATTTCTAGTTTATTAGCATTAAATATTTTTTCAGATTTTCCTCAAACTTTTTAAGTCCATCCTGTTGTCTAATTCTTACTGTGCCTAGCATGTGTCAACGATACATCAGTGCCCGGAGTGATATCCTCATTTGGCTACCTCTCGCATTACATTGACAAAGATAAGAAACTACATTATTGCCATGGCCCTTCACCTGCTAAAAGGATTAGTTACTGAAGTGCTTTACTTCTTGGGGCCCTGTGCTACGGAGGAACCCTGCTGGGTGAATATCATTCTCTTGGAAAAAGAACTTGTGCTTTCACACAGCTTTGGTTCCAAATTCTTTTATCAACATAAATAATGATCACAACCATAACTTTTGAATTTCTCTTTTGAAATTGTAACTACTAAGATTTCTGCCATTTCCTTGATGCTATCCATTACTTAAGTAAGAAATAGAAACCCTTCTTACTAGTCATGACTTTCTTGAAGGATACTGAGATCTATATGCTTTACAATGTTGAGTTTTCAAGAGGCTCAACTCTCTCACAGTTTGACACCTGCCTAACTGATGACACTTCCCACCCCCTGCCTTGTGATGCCTATAAAATTTATTCTACTGAATCCCCATAATACCCTCCTATACAAATGGCAATTGAACCTATTGCACTGGTAAGAGCATGAATTCACTGCCTTTGCACCCTCAGCATCAACTGTATTCACTGCATCGACATTTGTATTTCCAGGTTTTTTACCTCGCCTTGCATATGGGGTGCGAGTAAAGGGTCTATAAGTATGCTTCCTCACGAACTATATTAGGTACAAAGAGGTGTTTTAATCTTATACAAGCATAAATGTCATTTTTATTGTTGAGATATATAATCTACATTCAGAATAAAATTAATCTGTACATTGCCCCCTTCATCAAATAGACTACAGAGATGGAAAATCTCAACGGAAAAAGAATACATTAAAAATCGTAGGCAGGTCAACCGTCAACCTCTTGTATATTCAACTCTTCATACTGCCTTAGGCTGGATCTGTTCGAAGTCAAAAACCTCAAACATGAGGCGTCTTACATCTGGCTTCCCATATACAGCATATGCAAGCCCATGAATGGCTTGTTGAACCGAGGTTGTAGCTGGATTTCTCAGCCTTCTGTTATGTTCATAGGAATCCTGTACCTCCTCGCTGTAAATAATGAAGCGATGGAGATATTTCTCCCTCAAGTACTTCCCACAGAACTTGTTCATCAGAAGTCGGCGGTGCTTTTCCTGCAACCATCTTCCGGGAGCGTCTAGATGCTTCATTAGCAACCTCTCTGCTAATACAAGATCCTGCAAAATAGTGGGAATATACAGTCGTAGTTAACCTATTGATGCCAAGATTTGATATTGTTGAACCAGCTCATCTAGTTGCTTAAGCTGTTTGATTATTTTAATCAGTCTTAAATGCAACCCATCGCATGCACGGTGGAACTAGGAATATGACATTTAATTACCTGGATCTTTTGGCCAACATATTCCAGTCTCTCGAAGCAAAACCGTGGATGCTCAAATTTGAACTTGGAAGGGTGCAAGAAACAGAGCTGTATTTGTAAAGAAGAGGAAAAATCCATTAGGAAGAATCTAGTGCACATTCAATCAAATATATAGCTCGGCAAAATCAGACAAGTGTAGATACATAATTGTGCAGAATATTTCTCATAGGCCTTGAGCTTTTACGAGTATGCATAAATTCATTGCTACAACTTAAGGGTGCTGGATAAAGCTGTAAGCAGGGGGACAACAAATAGAATACCTGTAAGCCAAGTCCAAGTTCTATGTTCCTAGCTTCAGTGATCTCAGGGATCCTATCTGCCATTGCCAAGGGATATCCGAGTGTTTTCATGATTTGTGGTCTACTATCATAATCCCATATATTTCCACGAAATCGATGCATACCAGGAGGAACACATGCCCTGAAAAGCCTTGGTTGTGCAAAAAGAGCATCTTCTGGAGGCTGTGAATGGGAATTTATTAATGAATAGATAATTCAATTTCAGAAGAAATATGTCCCTTTACAATAAGCTATTACCATCATAAGAAATACGTAATATGTTTAGAAGAAACTGAAATTCAAGAGAAGGCACTAATATATACTAATCCCGAGTTGGAATTATTTCACCTGGAATGGATAGTCATGTTCAAACAACTATATACTAGCATGTCCAGGGTTCATTTTCCATTTAGTCTTTGAGTTACCATCAGGTCAATTTAGACTAGTACTGAAAGTGGGTCCATAAAACCTTGTTTTAGTATGATAGACTTATTAGTTGTTCAAATTTTGACCATCTATCCACCTATTAAAAAATAAAGAAAAAATAAAAAAATAATAAAAATTTAAAAATTGACCATCTATCCAATGTGGGATAATTACAAATCATTAATGCTCCCAAACATTTTTCAGTATTCGGACCATTGCCACATGATTGGGGAGCACTACTGTTCAATCCATCAAAATTTAGTTGAACAGGGAGTTAAAAAACAACCTTGTCCAGCTAATTTGCGCACAAATACTTTAGCTAATTTCGCTGATTCCTTTGAATTTCTTCATTTTCTATTTTTACAAAAAAATTGATCTTTCTTACATTGCTTTCAAAGCCCATCTAAGTGAAGTGCATGATACATGCACCTATCAATTGGGCAAATTCCAAGGTATTTTGCTTCAGAAAAGATGGAAATGATATAACAGAACAGCCTTCAAAGATGAAGCTACAGCATGCTATTCTTCTTATTGTAAGACTAAAGTAAAAATAATATCGTCAAACTGAGAATGAAATAGTGCTTACCCTATAAGCAGCAACATCCTGCCAGCTAAGCTTTCTACTTTCAAACTCCACAGAAACGTAGTCTACATCTTCAAGCTGTCTCCTCAGTTTAGGTTGGCAGTCTTCAGCCTCAGGGTCCATTCCGAACACTTCAAAAAGAACACGATATACTTCTGGCATGCCAAAACACAAATATATCGCCCCAAACAAGGCCCAAAATACAGATCTGCCATGATAAAATTTGAGGCATTACCAATATGTAACTTTCTCATGACCAACTACATCAAACGACTATCACCAGAATAATTTTAAATAAAATCTGCAAAGCATCACATGACGGAAAAGTTGTAGGTTCATTGCAGAAATTGATAGATTATTCAAATTTATTTATGGAACTTCAACATGACGTAAAGGATAGCAGCTCAAGAGTGCACATTAGATTATTTTGCATTGTGAGTCCAACTGCCTAACACAATAAACAATATGAAGCCCTTGTTTGAGCCCCATTTTGGGGAAAAAATGTATTTTTGAATAGTGATTTTTTGGAGAATGTGTGGTTAAAATGTAAGAAAAAGTTTCTAATTTACAAGTAAAATTATTTTATTGGATAATGAGTGGTTGAAAATGAGTTCTGAAAAAAATGAATTTTTGGAAAAATGAGGCTCAAACAAGGGTAAAATAAAAAGAATTGCATGAAGATGCTTATATCATACCCAAGTGTGATTTCAATTACTAGAGAACCCTTACTACCCTTGTTCAAAAGCATATTATGCACTCACTTTTTCGGGGCATGGGAGGCAAAAATAAACCATCCAACTATCTCGACATGTACAATTTTAACCAATATTATGCCATGCTATCATATGCATAGTAATTATTTCGTTTACATTTTTGAACAACAGTACTGAAGTGTATGTATTCGGCAAAATATAATCAGTCCCAGAACAACGACCAAATTGTTATTATATGCTGCACAACCATCCGTTACATGATCTTCACGAATTCAGTACGTAATCTTTTGACAGTGCAGTTCTTATACAGCAGGACAGCAAAAAGTAACATAATAGAGCTTTCCCAGCAAGTAAGCACCGCCACCCACACTCCAAAGTAATCACGATAACATTCACATAGGATCAGGGTAATAATAAATACATACAGATGTAATTCCTACTTCAATATTCTCAAGCCACACCCTTTTCAAGCTCTCATCAATCCAGTTATCTTACCTGAGTCCGATTTCAATCATGAAACTCATATATCAATCTTCCACTTTGTCCCATAATCCTCGCAGTGTGAGTTCTTCAGTTCATGTAATTTGTTTTAGTGTAGCAAGAAGTTGATGGAACTCAGGAGCTCCTTCATTGGAATTGGTCAATTCATGAATTGGGACAAGACTCATTGACTGTTATTAAGGGTTGAGTCTTGCAAATAGGTGTTGCAAAATGGCATATTGGACATTGTATGTAAAGAGGCATTCATTTACAAATTTTAGGTGTGGTGAATATGTAGAATTAGAGGGTAGGTTTCCTAGCGTTCTTAATTATTGGAAACGCACCAATTGTGTCACTTCATAAGAAGGGGAATACGTTGTCTATTCTGTTCCAACTATGTAAGAGTGGATTTTTTTTTTTTTTTTACCACATGATATTTGCAGCAGAAGCCCGTCCCAAAATGTGCCACTTATTCATGTCATGCAATATGTTTTCACAATCATTCTTGATAATATATGTATTACTTTTAATTATGTGCAATCGAGCATCAAACATGTAAATTATTCCAAGTATTTCCGTGAAATCTTTTTCTACAATACATGTAATTATGTCCAGGTACTTGAAAAGCATAAGAAGACTGATAAAGTTTCAGACCAGCAAGGTTGAAAACTATGTCTATTATTTCAATAAATATCAATACCACAAAAATTAAAGAACATCACTTACTTCACTGGCGGTTCTCGATCCTTTCTAATCAACTTATCCATATCATCATACGGGAAAATCAAATTCTGCAAGCTAGCAGCTTTAATCCACTTGGGCAGAAACTTTTTCCCTATCAAAGCATACACTCTCTCCCTCATCGGCCCGGGTGACTCCCTAGGATACCTCTGCAAGAAGAACTCACACAATGCCATCTCCAGCACATACTGCCCCAAGAACCATAGCCTGGAATGCCCCGACCGCACGTGGCGAGCATTAGTCCTCTCGCAATGGGGATGCTGAAATGCTAGATACAACAATGTGTCGAACTGCTTAGCTGGATTATCATCTCCATAATTCTCCGAAGGCTCCAAAGGGTAACCTAAAGCCTGCTTGGCCTCAAGCAAGTACTCATCCATCCACGTTTTATCCGCATTGTTTAACCGGGAAGAAGGCAAGCAAGAACTCAACAAAGGGAAGGACTTTAGCGATAATTGCGGGCTGTTGAGGAATCTTTCAGCCAGTTTTGCATCATCAAGTGGGGGCTTGAGAATGAATCTCTTCGGGGGCGGTTTTTTCTTAGGGGAGACCACTTTCTTGCGCTCTGCTAGCTCTTTTAAAAGCCTTTGGGGGCTATTTCTTGGAAGCTCTTTTGGGTCAACAGCTACAGCAAAAATTCGAAAACTTGTTGCAATATTTGGTATTTTGAGGTGGGTTTGGAAGGAGAAGGATGAGAACGAGGAGGAGAAGGAGATTTCTACCGTGGACTGTGGTTTGAAAGCGGAACAGAGCTCCATTAAAGATGGTAAAAAGATGGGATTTTTACTGGGGATCAAAAGTTAGAATTGAGAAGCGAAATATTTTATAGGATTGGTTTGAATGGGGAGGCACAAGGAGGTTTTTTGCAGGGTTTTGAAACAGGGATTGAAGGAGGAGTCGGGATAAGGTGAAAACTGAAAAAGTGTATCCGAAAGGAATGCAGATTTTTTTCTTCTCTTCAAATTGAAGGCTTTTCCATTTAATTTAAGAATAATGTTATTAAGACCCCTTAATTCATTTTAATTTTTGCTGTACGTCCACGTAATAAAATATTTTATACATAAATTTATAATTTTTTCTATTTTCTAATCACTCATTCTTAAAAAAATATCATTCAAAACTATATTTTGAAAATTTTAAGGCCATGAAATTATTAATTTTTATTTGATTGAAGAAATTCTGACTCGATTATCTCTCATTATATTATGTGTATGTAAATTATTATATACATATAGCATAATTACTAATTTATGGTGCCAGAGGTTTGCCATATTGTGGTTCGTATTCAAACTGCCGGAAAAATAAGCATAATTGATCATTTTGAATGAATTCCATTTAAATGAACCATTAATTTTGTATTTGTAAAAAAAGATGTTTTTGCTTGGATTGCTTTTAGGGTAATTATATTGTCATTACAAAATTTACTAAGTGCACTACAATTTTTAATATTTTTTAATTATTTAAATAGCCTTTAAGTAAAATTACATAATTATGGTTTTTAATAAACTTTTAAATAAAATATATTATTATTATTATTATTATTTTGGTATAGCTTCGAGTCTTCTAACTCCTTAATTCTTTATATTTTTTCGAACTAGATTTTCTCTTTCATGGTTAAGTGGAATTTGGAAAAATTTATGCCTCGAAAATATTTGCTGTCGCATGGAATTATCTTTCTCTTGATATTGACAAATCGTGTGGTGAAGCAATAGTTAAGAGGCACTGAAAGCTCAGAAAATGAATTCTGTTCGACTCTTTAGTGCACCAGATCTTCCCATTCAATATTAAGGAATTCTAGTTTACAGAATTCCCCTTCAATTGGATGTCATTCTAGGCTTTGGAAGACGTTAAATCACAGTTGCTGAATCTCAAAGTTTCACAATCAATCGACTTTCAGCAAGATAGTCTTACATTTAGTCTCCGTTTGACCCCATTAAATTCTATTTTATTACATTCAATTTTTCTTTCTCTTATTTTTAATTGCATAATCTTTCATAAAATAATATTATACATAAATCGAAAATTTTTCCTTCTTTTTCAACCAATCATTTTTCAAAAAAAATAATAATAATAATATTTCACTCATTTTCATTTCTATAAAATGGGGGCCAAATGGGGACTTAGTGTTATCCATTGTTGCCCAAATACCCAACTCATCATTCGAATCAAATCATCATCAAACCTTTCTTCTTTTCTTATCTTCCCCTAGAAAATAAAGGAAAATATAGTTAGAAGACATTTTTTTCTTTTAATTTTTAATTTTTATTGAATTTGGAGTATATTTGTAAATTTATTGTGGCGTATTTCTTAAAAATGTATTATAATTGTGATGTGATTATAATGTGGTGCACTTAATAATTTTTTGTCGTGGTAACACAAGCACCCTTGCTTTTAAGAGCTCATAAATTTCAAGTCTTCAAAATATATGGATCATAAGTGGATAATAAGTTATGAACCTTATTGAATTCTGAATAAAAAGTATATTTCACTAAATTAAGAAAACTTAATAAGAAAATGTTGACCCTTGCAAAACTAGCTCAAAATTAGGCAGGACCAAGCTCGAAAGGCTTAAAAGCTAACAAAATAACAGCTTGTAAAAGGCCTAATATAATACGTTCACTACAGCCACTAGGCCCAACTATTGGGCTAATGTTTCCCCTAACAAAGACAGCCCAAGACTGCAACTACAGAGAGGGGCCTAGATAGTAATTACAAGACAAAAGCCCAAAATACTACCGGGAACAAATAATCCGTCCGCCACCGGTCAGCGGAGGAGGGAGCCTATAGATTTCCCGGCTCCATTTCCGTAGATTGAAAAGTTCATGTATAAGGATGTTAAATGGGAAGAGTTCAGCCGTTGATTCGCCAGGAATCGGTTCACTCAACCAAAGTGTATGTCACTCGGCTCGTACACAAGCCGACGAGAGCGCAAGCCAACTTGGAAGATGGCACGATAAATTTGCTGCTTCTCACGCTAGTCGGACGAGCTGAGCCTGCTAGCCGCACTTAACAGTCCTAACTGCAGGTCATTTGCCTATCACCTGACTTCGATTTCTCTTCGTGAAAATGTCTCCTCGCAGAATTCTAGCGTTCCAATAAATCCTTATTTTCCTTTTCACTTCAGTAAAGCCCTAGTTACATTTTGATTCATTTATAACCCCCGCCCCCCCCCCCCCCGGGCGTTCTATGTACTCTTCTGTTCTGAATTAGTGCTGGAAGGAATTCTAAGGATTGTTATGTTGCATTGTTATATAAACTTGAATAAGTACTTCCTTTGCACTGCTTATTGTTGCTGAAAAGTCTTGTAAATATATCGATTTATTATTTTCGAGGGATAGAGCGTAAATTTTGTGGGTAAGGGACTTCAATTTTGCACTTGCTGGTCCATGTATCTGGATTAAGAAATTTGATTCTACCGGGGAACTAAACAATGATGAGTTATATTTGGATTCCTTTTTCCTATTTCAATGAGGAAAATATTAAAATCAGCTCCTTGTGTCCTAAATTTATCTATATTTCTCTTTCCCTTAAACTTGTGTAAAGGCATATCTGAATTGCTCCTCTTTCGTTGGTGGTGCCTTGACAAGGTATTGAATCAGTTGGCAAGTGGATTAGTAAATTTAAGCTTGGTTACGAATTGATCTGTCATAACGAAAACTCCTTGATTCATATACCTGAAGGAATAATTTGGATATTATAAGGTCTTCTGGTGGTTAACTGGTTAAGTGCCCTGATTATCTGTGAATAGTGAGAAGATAAAGAATGGTTTGGAAGAGCGAGGAGGAATGCATAATGCAGTTTTATTGTTTCTCAAGTTTCCTGTTTGGGAAAGAAAGGAAGTGAGAAGGGAGATTTTGGAACGTTACTATTTCTTTCTATCTATAGGTGAGAGCGAAAAGCTTACCACTTTTTCTATAACTCTTCTTACTTTCAATAGAAGATTAGGAGAAAAGGAAGTTCATCTTTAAACTATCCACGTGTTTATGATGTAAACTTGGAATAGTGAAATGGACATTATGACCCTTCTGTCGTTTGTTTTGTGTCCACACACAAAAAAACTGGAGAACTTAGTCCTTCCACTAGCCATCATTATTTTTATTTCATTGTTTATCGACCTTTTTGACCTTTATACCTGATGGAACATAAATTTGTTGTCGTCTTACATGAGATGACACGAAAGAAAATTTGTGCTGTATTTACAGAATATAATTTAATATGCCGGTTAATATTATGTTTGTTGACCTTCTTATAGTGGCTAAGTGTTTTCATAATTCATGTCTCTGGCTGCAGTCTGCTTTGGTAAGAAAGGGGTGTGTGTTGTCCTTAGGCTTCACAGTTATTACTGTAATTTGTTTTACATTTATTTCTTGTAGTGCTTGGGGCATCAAATATTGAAGCAGCTAGTCTGACAGACTAAAATAAAAACTCAAATACTGTCTAGAATCGCTTCTTTTAGGTTCAATTATTTGCACAGGCTACTTTAATTATTCTATGCTTCAGTGATATAACTCCATGTTGAACAGTTACAGTTTGTACATGTGAAGAATGAATTTTGATGTGACAAGTTCTTTGTTAGGTCCCATTAGCTAAAGGAAAAAAGTTCTGGGCCACGAAAAGGAACTTATAATTGATAATCAGATTAATATTTGCATTATTGGACGTGCCACTTGTACTGAAGCTGATGATCATCTTGTCAAGTGGTTCATGCTTAACTAGTTTTTTGGTCCACTTTTTAACCATGATTTACTGGATGCCAATCAAATATGTTACAAATTGCCGACATATGCACGACAAATAAAATATTTTAAAAGCTGCAACAGTTGTTATTTTTTACTTTGCTTATATTATTTTAATTGGTTTTGACAGCTTTCGCTAACCTGATTATCTTCGTGCATTCAGTTGGGAATTTACACCAACAAGAAGTTGAATGGTGATTAACCACAAATAGGACACTTGAATTAAATAAAATTCTATTCACTTATTCCGCGTTGAATGCTTACATCACATGCTCTAAATGTGGAAGTTTAATGAACTTTCCTGCCATCTTGTGTGGTAGCTCAATGTGATAACTAACTGAGATATTGGCTTTCCCTATGGTTGAAAGTTGGGATGGAATTATTTGGAACCCTATGATGATGAGCTTCTGACTACCCATATATAAATAACCTCATATTTCTTCATATGTTGGATGTAAGAACTGATTACTTTGTTTAGAGCTTTATGTCTTCTCAATTTGAATTTACCTGGAATCTTTAACCGTATACGCTAAATTATTGCTATATGCACGGGCCTAGTAATCTTATTATGTCTGGTTATTATCTGCAAGGAGTTTCAAATTGAAGTTCAACTTCCATGCAATTCATATTCTGTCCTTGCTCCAATAAGGAGAATAGAATGGAAATGGTAAAAATTGAAAAAAATATAGTAATGTAGCACACGAGAAAGATTTACTTGTCCATTTTTTGAAATTTTGTTGGGTTTCCCTCAAGAACTACAATGCGAACTTCCGGTCATGGAGTTTGATCTTTATATTTGCTATTATGCTTAATACTTGTCTTTTCAGTTCTATGCTTTAAATGATCCATTCAAGGTTGCTTTTTTTGCTTTTTATCTGACTAGATCTCGTCAAGGTAATGCCTGTGATGTTTGCTAGTGAGAATTCTGCATGGGAAATTCTTACACTTACTGAGGTGACCAAGCAGCAATGGCCGGCCTGGACACTCTCGTGCAAATTACTCGTGTTGTAGGGTGGAATTGGAGTTCCTAATTGAAATTTGAAAAAATGAGTTGAAATTTGAGTAGAATCGTAAAAGTTTCCACCTGGCAACGTTGTTCAATTCAGCATCAAGTTATTTCAGGCCATGTAGGTTTCAATGTCTTATATTTATGATATGGCATTGTTTTGGTTTAGCGTTTTAGTTAAAAGGGGAAAAACCCTTAATTTGTGTAGTGAAGGTGACTCGACCTATTGTGGACTTGACCTATATGTTGATGCACATTCAATGATTCTAATTTGTGGGGATCATCGTTTGCATCTTGGTTGGTAGACTGTACTGAAAGAGGAATTCAAATTGCTTTTTACCAAACACATGGTGACTTCATTGATACGAACCTCATATTATGCTTTTTCTATTTTCTATTTGTGAAGCAAACCCACCTACAAATCAACAAAAACAATCAATTAGTGTAAGGATTTGCCAAATAAAATGAAGAAAATCAAGACCAAAAATCTGAAAATTAAGGAACGCTTTTCCCCTTTATAATTCGGCTCAAAAACTTGATTCACATCACAAAGGTATCTCCAATTTCAAGGTCATTATCAGTCAAACAGACAGATTCACAAAAAAAGGCAAAGGAGGATTGATTTGCATTAAGCAGAAAAGGTTTTCTTCTTCTTGTTTTTTCTCTCGGTTTTGGTGTGTCAAATAGAAAAGAAAGGTGGAGTATTTATAGACTCATAGGAGAGAACGAATTTCCCAGGAGTCTAACAAGATTAGATTGAATAAAAACTGCAAGATCATATTCAAACTGAAAGATAGAGCTCATCCAACAAAAAAGAGATAAAATTGGTTTGACAAAGATAATGATAATATTGATCTGTCTTTCATGTGAATTTCAAATTTCCTCCAAGTTTGGTATTAAGCATCTAGCCCAATAGACTGATTACTTCTAAATACTCAACATAATTGGGCTATTTCAATTGTGGTGTGGATTTAATTCTTCAATTCTGAGCTTATAGCCTATGAAGTTAAAACGGGCCTCGATTTTTTATCACAACCTAGGGGATTTGGGCATCACTTATCAAACATGCCCAACACTATTTTCTTGTTTATCTTTCTTTTTGTCAAATATTGTGGTTAATCCTAATGTTATAGGATGAATAAGTGAATACCTAAGCAAGAGATGAATTGAATCAATATTTACAAGGTAGGGCTTGATCAGCCTGCATACGGGCTCCTTCTACTGGCACCATTACCTCCATTTGCAGGCTAAACGATATTAAGGAAGAAAATAAAATTGAAGTATGTTTAATGTGTAGCATTAGACTTGGATTCAGCAAATATTGTCGAATTCGATCCAGTCCACATGCCGCAAGAATCAATTAGGACAGATGGACATCTATCGTTTCGTTCGTTTACGCTCCAGTGTTTATCATATTATAACCCCCTTTTACATGACATAGCGAACATGAAAGTGAAAAATTCGAGATTCGATCATTCATAGGATGCAGATTTCTTTAGACCCATGCGTAATGACACTGAAAGACGATGTGGACATCACCTATCATTATCTACTAACAGAAATCTTTCCCAGAGTCAAATTAATAGATGTTAACAGCCCATCGATGGGTACTAGAGCAAAAGGGAAATTTAATTTTCGAGACATGCATCAAATGTACTCTATGTATCGTCAAATCGGGCCTTCATAATTATCTTACCAGTCATGGTTTCTGGTGGCTTCTATAAATGGTAGGTCATGGCAGCCAAGGTTGCATCTCTTTCAAGTATCATGAACTGACCCACCCACCCCTGTCCCCCAGGCGGCTTGCGGGTTTGATTGGGATCTGTAGCTTTTGGTTTACTGGTATTTATTTACATGGTGAAGTTTCACACTTGGTGGGCTCATATGTTAAAGGGAGCCAACCCGAGACATGAATGTCAATTTTCGCAAAATTCTCTCTCAATAAATAGAGGTATTGGATGATATATAAACGTAACTTGGGGTAGTGAGATCGAGAATAATTACCTCTTTGAACTAGTCCATATTTCATATTCAGTCGCTCTACGGAACTGGTTTATTAGTGAAAGTAGCCCTCTAGAATTGATTTTCCAATGGCTCTTTTACGATATTACTGTCCCGTTTTGCCAAAATAATACACTAAACGCTTTGGAAAAGATAGGCAATTTTGTGGATGAAAATACATTTCACATGGAACCTCTTTATTTGGCACCACTCTCTTATCTCTGTCTCCCACCGCACACTACATTTCATTGTGCCCAATAGTATTACCTTTTACCTTAGAATTCAGTAAAAATGGACGCCTGCTATGGGGATTGTACAGGCGAAGATAAATAGCAGAATTTATGACTAAAATTTAGACAGGGACTGAGACTGAGACTGAGACTGAGACTGAGACTGTACTTCCACAACTGTTGAAGTCAGTTATTAGTTCAGTACAAGGAGTGAATTTTGGGGGAAAAAGAGAGAACTTTATGATCATTAGTTAAGAAATGACCACAGCATAAAAGGGACACTCTCCTACAAGAATTTATTATCTTCAGCTATGACGGATTTTTAAATGGGATCATGGTACATGAAATAATTGAGACGGCGGATCTTGATCAGGAGCAAAGTGCACAACCCATGGCTACAAAGATGTTCGCTAAGAAAAATGATCTTCTTTCCACTGCCATGAAGAGAACTAGTGAATGGTTTGCTTTCTGTTTCCTATCTAATTAATATTATTTTTACTTGTATTGTTAATTAATGAAAGAATAGTTTGGCCATTTTGCTGAATTCTGTTTAGGGAAAGATAATGAAGGACTTAAGATGTTTATTTCAATGTTCAACAGGATCTTTTCGCAGGAAATCCCAAGCGACGTAACTGTTAGTGCAGGAGGAACTTCCTTTTCATTGCACAAGGTAGAGTATATTGATGTTTCTTATAGCATATTCTACTTGATTAATGTGAGGAATTGAAAATTAATCTATATTTTTGAAGTTTTAATATTTGATTTATTTCTCACAATCGAAGTGATTTAAACTCCACTGCACATAATTTTACATTTACAGTTCCCATTGGTCTCAAAATGTGGATACGTGAGGAAGTTAGTATCAGGATCCTCTGATACTGATCTTGCTGTTATCAAAATCCCTGATATTCCCGGAGGAGCAGAGGCGTTTGAACTAGCTGCAAAATTTTGTTATGGAATAAACTTTGAGCTAAGTACAGAAAACATTGCCATGCTTAGGTGCGTAGCAGAATATCTTGAGATGACAGAAGACTATGCAGTTGAAAATTTAGTTGAAAGAACAGAGAAATACCTAAACGAAGTGGCACTAAAGAGCCTTGCCGGGGCAGTTACCATTTTGCATTCTTCCGAAAACCTTCTTCCCCTAGCTGAAAAAGTAAAATTGGTAAGCCGATGCATAGATATGATAGCATTTGTGGCCTGTAGAGATGGCCAATTTAGCTCACCGGGGAGGGTGGAGAGTGACAAGAATAATTCGATATCCTCCAAATCGTCCATGTCCAGTACGAAGCCCGTTGTTGATTGGTGGGCTGAAGATTTGACTGTCCTTCGAATCAATTTCTTTCAAAGGGTTCTCGTTGCAATGATGGCAAGGGGATTCAAACAATATGCTCTTGGTCCAATATTAATGCTGTATGCACAAAAATCTCTTCGTGGGTTGGTGAGTTCTTACCCCTAAACGTGGATTATTAATCACATGAGCTACATTCAATTGTTATTTTTCTTTTCATTTCAGGAAATTTTTGGAAAGGGTAGGAAGAAAATCGAGGCAAGAGAAGAACACGAGAAACGGGTTGTTTTGGAAACAATAGTTAGTCTTCTGCCAAGAGAGAAGAATGCCATGTCAGTTAGCTTTCTTTCGATGCTTCTTCGAGCTGCAATACATCTTGAAACAACAGTTGCTTGCAGGCTCGACTTGGAAAAGAGGATGGCCTTGCAACTAGCACAGGCCGTGTTAGACGATTTACTAATTCCTTCTTATTCTTTCACTGGGGATACATTGTTTGATGTTGAAACTGTGCAGAGGATAATGATGAATTACATGGAATATGAAATGGAGGGGAATAGATCGGGTTACAATGCAGACAAAGAGTATATTTCTCCTTCACAAAGTGATATGGAGTGTGTCTCGAGGTTAATGGAGAGCTATCTTGCTGAAATTGCTTCTGACCGCAATTTATCTGTATCAAAGTTTATCAGCCTTGCAGAACTAATTCCTGAACAGTCACGAATAACAGAAGACGGAATGTACAGGTCCATTGATATCTACTTGAAGGTTTGTGCATTTTCTTACTTTATTTCTGAATCCCTTACTAATGAGCAATGGAAAACGGATCAAATAAGACTTTTAGCTGACATTTAAATTTAAGATACGAGTCTATTTTACTTGATTTTAATACTGAAGACGTATTTTTTGGACTTGATACTTCATGTGTTTCACTTTTTGACAAAGTTTGATCACTTGATATTTAGTAAAGATAAAATTCTGCATAAACTGTTCAAGTCAAAAGTTTCCTCTTATTTTCCCTTTCCGTCTTCTTCTCTTGAAATCCTCTCTTATTGGTTGCTTCACATGTCAAATATTGCTAGCAAGTTTTTAGTACAAGGTAGATTTAGTATGATTATAATTTAATACGAAGTAATAGTAAGCTTTGTGTTACTTTATGGATGAATTGTGGACTGCTGCATAGCTTATTCATTTACCTCCTTATATGTAATCTGCAGGCTCATCCGGCATTAAGTGATATGGAGAGAAAGAAAGTTTGCAGTGTGATGGACTGTCAAAAGCTTTCTCGGGAAGCTTGTGCTCATGCAGCTCAAAATGACAGACTACCGGTCCAGACGGTAGTTCAAGTGCTTTACTACGAGCAACAACGCCTCAGGGAAGTCATGGACAGCAGCCTCAATGATTCTCCTTCTCTTCCAACCAAACCGAATAGATTCTCCATTGACATCCACCCTGTACCAGATGAGCTCTCGACTCTACGTAAAGAAAATCAAGACCTGAAACTCGAGTTGGTGAAAATGAAAATGAGATTGAAAGAAATCGCAAAATCTGATGATCCTAAAGCATCATTTGGTAGTCCCTCAGGCAATCGTCTATCCTTTGATAAGCCTCCATTGCCTAGAAAATCTTTCATAAGCTCCGTCTCGAAAACCCTTGGCAGATTTATTCGTGCTGATGGAATCATACCCCAAAGCACCAAACGTCAGAATAAACCAAGCAAAGATAGGCGACATTCCATATCATGATAAATTTGGTTCGGATCATGTTACTATCAAATGAAGGTATTTCATTGCATTGTTCTTATCTTGAGAAAGGGTTCTGGATTTAGTGTCTCTGTTCTTTTCTGTGTGACATGTATGTCAATTATAATGCAAGTGCATTTTATTCATAAATGTAAAAGATTATGAATCTTGATGCATATAATTTTTATTATCTTGCTATTGATTTGATGTGTAGGGCTATACAGAATACCAGAAGCACTACTCTCTCTCTTCTTAGTGTCTGAGATAAATGCTGGATTCAAAATATGACTCATCGTGTGCTTATGTTATCAGTTCGATCCAAAATATTTAAATTGGCCAAGAAAATAGAAGTTTAATGATGCTTGATCTCTTAATTGATAGACTACTGTTAAAGAGTATAAACATACATCCTCTGAAAGCTTCTTTTTCGCCACCAATATACTTGATGCCTAGCAAAGATTTGTGGGTGAATCAGAGGATTAATTAAGGATCTGCTCCCCACCCCACCCAAGAAAAGAGCAAAAACTAAACACAAAAGACCCTTCTATAGAAAAAAATTAAAGATATCTTTGTAAGACGTCTAGGCCACGTCGTTAACATATACTTTAACAATCAACTTACAATTGTCTAAATGTGGATCTAGAGGTCTAAAACTGGGCGGGTTGGACTGTCTGTGGGTCTGACGCATTCAAAATATGTGAAGTCCAGCACCAGCCAATTGAGCCTGGACCAAGCCACCCCATCTTGCTGTTTTCATTCATTATTTTTTGTTCTTTTTCTCAAAGAACAAAAAACAAAAACCAAAATGAAAAGCAGTCAGTCCAGGCTCAACACAGCCCAACCCATCTCCTATACAGGCTGACCAACAGCATGGTCTGGACTGAGTCAAACAAGGACCCCCCGCCCGTACTGTACCGTCAAATTTACTCGTCTACGTAAATCCGTACTCTAAACTTAATAGTTTGATTTTCTTGGTTAAAATCAATAGGAGAAGCCAGAAAATGAAAGAGGCAATATAGCAGTGCCTCATCTCCATGTCTAAACCAAATTATCTGATAATATTTAACTTAAGATATCAGATGATTTCGAAATCATATTTCAGTCATTACATAATTGTGGGGCGGCCTTGTATTTTGGAATTGGAATCTAATGTTCATTTGGTGGTAGACACCTCGAGACACTTAAAAGTTATTGCTTAAAGGGAACATTTTCTTTGTGGTAGGTATGAGATGAAGATATGATGAAAGAAGAATTAGGAAGGGTCTATTTCACTTATGGCATGTGTTAAATAGTATTATAATTAAGTTGAATACAGGTTTCCGTAGATCAGATTCCTTCCATCTTGTTTGTATATTAAAAGAAACCATGTCTGTATCATGATGAAGGCTAACTAGAAAGTGACCACAATAAAGAAGTGGATAATAGTATACTGAGGTGGAAAACTTCCAAAAGTCTCCAAAAGTACAATGGCCCTCAATAATGGAATGAGATTCCTTTAGGGCTAAGGATTTCCTCAAGGTACCATGTATTCAGTTGGCAAATTGGCTGGATTAAGTAAAGATCTTATGACATGTTTCATACATCAGATTGAAGATGATGAAGAAAGTGAGAAATGTTATAAAATGTGCAATGAGTTATTTAGAGATAAGGAACTTCAGAATATAATCTTTCATAATAATAAAGTTATTAGAAGTCGTGTATTATTGACTATTTAGATCTGAAAATGTGAAGTTGATATATAGTGTCACAACTGAATTTGAAGATAGAAATCCTCCTTGAATAGAAGACAAAACATGCCCAAGTGAACATGTGGATATTATATGTTACAAACACAAATCTTGTTGTAAAGTGGATTTTCAAACTCAACGGGTTTTGATTGATGCCCAAAATCTTGCAAAAATTAGATTTTCCAGAAAGGTGATTATCACTAGAATAGACAAAACCCTAAAGGAATTAATTAATTAATAAATATTTATTGGTTGATTCCCATCTTATGTTAATAATACTTAGGTTTAATCTAATGACAGAACAGCAGCATTGACAATTCATGTGGGACAGTTTTAGACTCTTGGGATTCCCATAGATATTTGGTTGTGAACCAAGTACAGACAATCTTGTCTAACTACAACCTCAATCTTAGCATCTCCTGAGTATATCCATATGTTGATGGAAAATACGACGTGCTGGTCATAGTAGGTCGACTTTTATGATGCATCGACGGATCTCTTCCTTCTTAATTAAGAGCATATTTAAGGTGATGTAAAATAGAGATTTAGATCTACAATGTGGTCAAAAATCTCTCCATTGCAAATTGCATTTTCGGCAGAAATACAAGCACAAGAGTAAAATAGTGAATTTAGATCTTTGCATTGGAGCAGAATTTGAATTTAGATCCATCGAAATGTAAATGAAGATACCAATTTACACTCAATTTTATATCATCATTGGAGATGCTATAAGCAAGGTTTGGGCTGTGGCTCCGGGACCCAACTCGATCTTGTCATAGACAGCCACTCAATGAAGGCAATGCACCCTTTTATTGAATAAAGACATGGCTGATTAAAAAGTTGTGGTGGAAATAGTACTAGCCAAAAAACAAGTCAGGAAAAGGAAACCCATTACAAGTAAAAACTAGCAAGTTAATATCAAAATAAAATCCAATCAATATTCACAGAATCAGATGACAATATGCAGTCTACAGATATTATTATACTGAGTTGAGATGAATATTTTCCCCTTTCTCAACTCATATTCAGGCTTAAAACCTGGAAAAGCCAAGGTGGAGTATTTAATCTATCTTGTCTTATATGTTCTTCCACCTCAGAACTATTTTTCCTTCCTCCAAGGAAACTAGGATTTGACACAGGAATTTCTAGTCCCCATTTCTGCTGGTTTAATGGTTCTTCTCTTGCATATTGTCTTGTTCTCTTTACATGGTTTGATCCAGTGGAGGAAGAAGAAATGCTCAGTCCTGAACCTGATACCGGTGGTGTTCCACCGGCTTTTCCCCTCGTGGAATAGCTTTTCGGGCCTAATGTCAACTCAAGATCATAGTAATCTTCAATGTCGAGCACTCTAGTGTCATCTGATTCTGCTATAAACTCTCTAGCAGGCTGTTCCAAGTCAAGACATTTCATGGCCTTTGTATGAATATCGTTATCATCATTGAGCTTATTGGAATTAATCACGTATTCCTGCCAGTTTCGCCTATTTTTGGCAGTTTCTCTCATTAGCATCTTCTGAGTTTGATAAAGACGATGAAGTTCATAAACCTGGAAAATTAATTTGAAGATTATATCACTAATTGAGCCATAAAAAAATCTACAAAAGACTTAAACGTGGACTAACTTCCGGTACAGCAATAAAAGCAAGACATAAGTTTAATATATCTATACGTTGCAAATACAGATAATGGGAAGATAAACGTACCTGCTCTCGAAATGTTTCCTCGTGCTTTAACATGGCCATTTTCATAAATTCCTTGTCATACGAATTAAGAAGCTTCTCCATCGGAATTCAACAGAAAAAAAAAAAACGAAAAGATTTTCGAAGCGGAGTCAATTTGAGTATGGCCTTTCTTATATGCCTGGTCCTGTACGTGCAGAAAAAAATGGCAAAATATTCAAGAAAATTCAAGATTATATCAAGAAAGTAGTACATCAAGCTGAGGAGGCTCCAATAGCTTTTAGTCCACACGTTTCTTGAAGAAACAGTATAATTTCAATTTTGAACGTATCATAATGTTTGGGCCATGACAATTATTCACATATGAAAATATCTCTCAGCATGGCTTCACATCATTTTCATAAGCAAGTGATGCGTATTTAGCACGTACTCACTAAGATATTTTCATTGAGTTTACACCCTTTTGTCTTTTCAAGATTTCAAGTCCAAAACATACGTGCTTTCTCCCATTTTCTTTTTAGGGTTTATATATTTTCCAACCAGAAGCACTCTAGAATTGTCACTTGGAATAGAATCAGACAAAGCGATTTTCTTCCAATTCAAGCATCGAAATTGAGAAACAGGTAATTATACATACTAAAAATGAAATCCAGGCTTTAACAAGCAAGAATAATGTTGTTTGAATTGAATAGAATAGCCTATTGGACTCGTAATCAAGAACCGGACTGGAAGCAAGTCATGTTATATGAAATAACCCGTATAATGAAAAACCAGGAGCACATATAACCCGCAGCAAATAGAGAAACTCTACACCGCTCTCAAACAAACTAAGGTATATATAGGCAACTGAGCCGATACTTTAAATCTCTCTTATCATCAACTCTTAAAAATCGAGCAAAATTTGTTTCGTATGGTGTATTATAAATATAGCTTCAAGAAAAAGAAATATAAAGCAGATACTGTGAACAAGTTTCAAAAACAAAGATTTCATAGTTTATCTTCTTCACTAAGAATCAATAAATTTGCTTACCTTATAAGAATCTCCTTTGCAAACTTCAAAAATTTGCTCTCATATTCCCTTTAGTATATGCCTCTGCTGATGCATATAATATATAGCTGAAGAAGAATTTAAGAATCTGTACCTATACACAGAAATCAAAGCAATTGCTTGTAGCATATGGGTTTTGATGAAGGCATGCCAAACAAATCCCAGTGCCTTAGCCAATCTGATTTAAGCTTTGTGAAGGAGATGCCCCCAGACATGTCCAGCACTGCAAATATATAATATTCCTTTAAAATATTACCATAATATTAAAATCCTATATTCTATAATCTATATAGTTGTGGATCACAAGGGCTCTTCAGACAAATCATCAATGTAACAGAGTAGTGAATCACATGCACCCAGGAATTCTTTATGCTATCAACAGTTGTCCCCTCAATTATATAGTATAAATATATACATACACAAAAACTACTGTATCTATATATGTATGTATATTAGGGAGACAAGAAGGCGCCAGCATATAATTGGATCTTGACCGTACGTTAAGTGGGAACATCTTGGAATAATCCAAAATTGGATGATCATCACAAGATCTCGAGATACATTATCATAAAGAATTTTGAATTATTGTAGGCATAGAACTATGTACAGAGATATAAGGGTTTGTGGGAATTAAATTGTATTTGTAGGAAAAGGGATTCGCAATTGACTCACTCACAGACATTTGCATTTTTGGAAGGTTTTTGAGTTTGATGTACTAGCTAGCAGAATTTATAGCTAAATTTGATCTGGTTTATTTTATATGTAGAATATTCCATTTCTTTTTATTTTCATTTTTCTTGCATAACGTATGAATTTAATGTACAAGTCTTAACATGAAAACAAATTATATTCCCGATCATGATAAAAGAAAATAAAAAGTGTGTGAATTGTGATACGTTTGTTTTATTACATGTTTAATCATATGTATTAAATTCAATCAACAAACTACATATATGGCTAGTTTGGCGGGACTTTTTATTTGCTTCAGCTTCTTATAGGGGAGATTTATCATTTATAAGAGTTACTTTAAGTCAATTTCTCTAAAAATTCTTTTAGTCGGACAAAGTACTTTCAAAAAATTATTTAAATATGTTCAAAAATAACTTTTTAATTTCATAAACAATCTTCGACTTTTTGAAAGCCTTATCAAACGGGTTTATAGTCTTAATGATTTGCTTATACACACAGACGAGTCTTGATTGGCCAATTTGATTACTATATGGATGAAACTAATCCAAATTAAGGTTGTAGGGAGATTAGAGTATATATCCCCATGTAGATGAGGATTACAACGAGAACAGTTAATCTTTAATGATGATATTTTTAATTAACGGGCCGTATTTATTGACTTAGGCTAAAATCTTCGGAATTTAAATAAAATAAGTACATAAGGGACACTCTATAGTAGCATGGCACGTGCGATTTCGTTAGAAGTTAGAACTACATTTCTTTGGAATGGCTTCAATTTAATTTATTTTTATTGTCTTTGTTTATTGCTGCCTAGAGATTGACAGGAGAAATATTCAAAAACCCATTAATGTGGAAGAGGTGGATTTGAAAATTTTAGTGCAAGATAACGAAATCTATTCGTTTGGTCTGCCCGTTATTATCAACAAGGGATATTCACATTGCATTCTTGACTATTTCTTTTACCAAATTAGGGTTTGGATCTATCCATTTGTTCATTCAGTTTTGCTACAAGTACAGAAAAAATTGATAGAATTTTTATAGAGAAACACTTGACAGATTTTTATTAATTTTTGAGACAACAAATATAGAAATTAATATTGTCAACACAACACCTGTATAATTTCTGTCAATAATTCCTTGTACCTATGGAATTATTCTTGTTCATTTGTTTTAAATATGCCATACTACATGTGAATGAAATTAGATAATACAATATATAATTTATAATTTTTTTTACACGATATTATTCGTCTTACCATAGAAACCAATATAGTCTGTGACTTACACGGTCGAACATCTTTTACTTTCAAAATATGTGTTACAAATTTATTCAATAAGATTAGTAATTCCGTGTGTATCGTATATAAATTGTATGCCAAGTTTAAAAATATGTTTTATACTTTAAATTTAACAAGATTGAGCTCTTGTTTGCTTTAGGTAAAAATGTTAAATAGAAATTTAAGTCAATGTTGTCCCTTAATTTTAACAACACGTTTCATGGGATTCGTTACTCTTATCAACCACATATTTCATCAATTTTTTTGTTTTTTCCTAAATTTTACAAAACCAAACAGGAGTTGAATATGACTAGCTAAAGCTTTTGTCCTAAAAAGCTTGCCAATGCTTCGTCTAGACCCAAAGATTAACCTTAGTGTCTAGTCACACGTTGCACCTTTTAAAACAAAATAAGTATGAAAGAAAATTTGTCAATTATTTTGTTGACGTTATTGTNCTTTGACATCATTTCAACCACACATTTTTCAATAAAATAATATTACACGTAAATCTAAAACTTTTCTTTATTTTTTAACCACACATTTCCCATCAATATACTATTCAAAAATTTATTTTTTCCCCAAAAATGGGGCATAATAATGCAATTATAGTGAAAACACAAGTCATAGGTAAGCGTGTGTGTGTTTATATATATATATATGTGTGTGTGTGTGTGTGTGTGTGTGTGTGTGTGTGAAAAAAAATGAATTCCTAAGCAAAATGATGGAAGAAAGAACATTGGGACCTAGGAAGAGGGGTAGCACGCGTTGCCGGTGTAAGGAGGTGCAGGAATTTGGGGGTGGGGACTAGTGGAGCATTAAGGTAGGTTAAAAAGGCTGAGCTACGGCCTTGTACTGTTTTTTGGTCCACTGGTTTAGTACTCTCTGGATAATTAAACAGGAGTAAATAATATGAGAGCGCGCATTCATACTCGATAACCTAGCCTTTGGACTTAATAGTTTTTCCTCATCCTCTACCCTTCATTTCATCTAAGCTCTTTCGAGTAGATCGAGCCATTTAACACTCTCCTTTCGATCGAGGAGAGGCACGAATATGGATGATATCATCGTAATCTCTCTTTGGCACCTCTAGAGATGCTTAACGTCAGGTTCGGATTTCATTTTTAAATTAAAAAGTGAATTTTCAAAGTCAAATTTTAATTGCTGCTTACTTATCCGTCGTCAATTTCTTAAAAAAGTAATTTATAAGCTAAAGAAAAGAAAAGAAATGAACTTGAACCGAGACTTGACATGTATTTCAACGCTGCCCATTATTTATTTATTTTATTTATTTTTTTTATGAGATTTGAATCCTAAACACTTTTAATTCCCCTAATGGTGAATCTCCGTTGACAGATTTCATTCATGGTGAAATGTCACACATTGTTTCATAGCTCTTCGTTGTTGATATCTTGTTACCCCTCGACCAGACGAACATAATTGGTATAAATAGAGATTGAAAAAGAAAATAAAAATTAATTTTTTCCTCGATCAATCCCTCCTCCCTTGCCTTCTTCCCTCCACTTCCTTTTTTTAACGTCATTGCTTTACCCTGATAGACAAAATACAACTAAATTTTATTTGAATCTAGATGAAAATGCTCGAATAGATCATAATCAACACGAAATTTTGAATCTCTCCAACCAAATTTTCATCCAAGTCGTATCAAAATATCCACTATCTCAGTAGCACACTTGCCTGTTTATTCTTGGCTCCTTCTCTTTTTGAATATTTTTTGTCTTCATACTACTAGAATTTCTTTTCTCTTATTTCAACATTAAAATGAAGAGAAAAATGAAAAGATGAGCCATCTCAAATCAATATTTTAAAATATAATTTTGTTTGGCGTGATCTGTTTAGTTTTAATTAAATATTTAAAAGCATGAATATAGATAAGTCAAGACTTTTATTCTTGCAGGTAAAGAGCATTTGGTTTCGTGATCATTTGTTTGTGTATGATCACGGGTGCTAATATATATATTATGAAACTAATGATAGTGACCAAGTACTTAAGCTTTTATCAACTAAATTAATCTAAGATTATGACATTAATAATGATATTTGATGGAATCTCGAATCTTTTATAATTTTATCCAACTTTCTCCAATTAAGAAAAGGATCAATAGAAAGAAACCTCTTTTCGATCTATATAGAAGTTTTTAACTAAAGTCTCGAAATCAAACATTTATGAAAATTGTGCACTTGTTGAACTTTTAAATTAAAAATGAATCTAACATGCACATTAAAGAATTTTTAAAGATAATTAATAATTTGATTGCATAACTTTAAGTTCTTAATTTTAGATACGAGTGACGAATCAATCGAGTCGCTCATAGACTCGGCTTGTCCACGGCTCACTCCATGGGGGATTCCAGCTTGTACTAGATGAGCCATGAGCCGAGCTCATTTTTTTTTCCACAATCTAACTCATGGACTGGTGGATGGCTCGGCTCGGCTCAGCCAATGAGGCTCACAAGTTAAAGGGTTGAATCCACCCTAATTTGTTAACACGAGCTGAGCTATGAGTATCTTAACCCAACGCATTGTCATCCCTGATTTTAGATAACTAACCTATGATTTTGAATAGATATTTTCTTGCTAGTATGTCAAATTCTACTCTATCCCAACTTCAATTCAAGCAATTATTTCTTTTAGAGAAAAATAGGTTACATCAGATAGCAATAACACCAGGGACATACATACATTACAAGGTGGACCCATTGAAAATGAAAAATGTAGTGACTCTATCCATGGAGATTGAATATCATAAATAGTGGATGTATCACATAGACACGACACCGTTCGCACTTTCTAGAGCACACCATAATTTGCTTTTCAACGACAACTTGATACTAAACGACTTCAAATGCCCAAAAACCCTCGTACGTCACGGCGAAGCTGTGTGTTCAATTCGAAACGCTCGCTACCTTTCCGAAATGGGGTTATGGGCCCAAAACGGACACCAAATGCAAAAATTACATCAATTTCTTTGAAAGCCGACCATCCAACCGTTCCATGTATGCCAATGCCCGTTCCTCCACATAAACCTCATCATTCTCCCCAGGATCAATGGGATTCACCCTCGAATCAAAACCGGTAGCACTATCTCCCACGTTGTCTCCATGGTATGGCAAAAGATGCTTTACATTAAATACATCAGAAGTCCGTCTATGGGAAGGAAGTCGAATGCGATAGGATTTGGGGTTGATCTTCTCCACAATTTCCACTGGACCAATGGTACTAGGTGATAACTTCGAATGCTCATGAGATGGCACTCGATCCTTAGTCAGCACCGCCCAAACATAATCCCCAATGTCAAACTCAACAGGACGTCGATGCCGATCAGCCGCCTCTTTATACTTACGGTTGGACTCTAGCAGATTAGCTCGTGTTTCCTCGTGAACTTGTTGCAAACTACGAACAAAGTCAACAGCTGTCCCATGCAGCCGAGTCTTAGAGGGCAGAGTCAATAAATCAACAGGGCTGCGGGGCAGAATACTATACACAACCTGGAACGGACTGAAACCGGTGCTTCTATTTCTAGCATGATTATACGCAAACTGTGCCTGGCTAAGCCGCTGATCCCATGAGCGTAGATTATCCCCAACCAAGCATCGCAACAAATCACCCAAAGAACGATTAACTACTTCTGTTTGCCCATCAGTTTGAGGGTGATAAGCACTACTAAAATTGAGCGACGTGTTAACTGACTTCCATAAACTCCGCCAAAAGTGACCGA